CTTTTTTTCTTGCTTTGCCTTTTCTTTTTACTTTTCTTTTTTGTTTTATGTGTAGTTTTCTTTTATTTTAATTTTGAAAATTACACCAATGGTTCCTAAATTGGTATTGCTTATACATACTACTGCCACATTAATTTGGGTAACTAAATAAAATAGTTTAATATTTTATTTATTGTAAAAGGAATTCAACTAATTGTTTTGCTACTATTCAAAACATTTTAGAGTATTTATTCCTTTTATAAAAGTGTGGTTCCTCCACCATAATTACTTATGTATTATTTGGTTCACTCCGAACATTTAAATTTTAATATTTGAAAACTTTTATTGTTTGCTCGATTTTGAATTTGAAATTCGAACTAGGTTCCGAACTAACACGAGTTTAACCACAGTAACCGAGGTGGCATGGCATCATTAGCGGGGATTATTGTAGCTTGATTACCCGGGCGTCACAGCGCCGCCACTGCCACCACTCCTCCAGGGGCAGCAGCCAAGAATTGAAACCCAGGTTTCAATTATATGTGCTAAAAGCCTCTACAATTCTCTAGCTACTTCTCTCTACTCTCTCCTAAGTTTCGGTGAGCAACAAAATCCTCTACTCTCTCCCCTATATGATACTAATTAACAGTAGGATCTAGAGATGCATATGTGATACTAATCCTATTAATCCATATGTGATACTAATCCTATTAATCCATATGTGATACTAATCCTATTAATCCATATGTGATACTAATTAACAGAGAGGGAGGAGCGCCGTGTAGGGGAAGCAAGGGGAGTGGCGAGCCGCCGCGGCAAATCGATTGGAGCCATGCATCGAAGCGCGGAGCCACCATGCAATCCCTAAGTCCCAAAACATGGCGAGCCGCCGCGACAAATCGATTGGAGCCTAGCTAGCTAATGTGGCGCGCGCAGGGAGGAGGAGATCAAGAGGGGGACTTATGGGGTTGGAGCGTCGGAGGAGGCGAGAGGCGACCGCACATGGTGGCGGCGCATGGCACCGTCGACGGGGGTGAGGCGGCCGGGGACGAACCCTAACCGCGGCGGGGCACTCGATCGGGCCGGTTTTCTTTAGCTATAATAGTAGCGTTGGGTGGAGCACCACGCTACTGCTAAGCCCACCAGCTCTAGCGCCCTTTCAGAACAAACGCTAAAGCTAAGTGGGCTATTGTTTCTGCCCTGCGGCCCATGTAACAGTAGCGCGGCCCAAGCAAACAAACGCTGCTGTTATGTGTTAGTAGTAGTGTGTTTTCTACACAGCGCTACTGGTAAGTACTAGTAGCGTGGGGTCACAAAAACGCACTACTGGTAAACTTCTATCAATAAGCATTTTCCTAGTAGTGAATGAATGAGCTACTGACTTGTTGGAAATAATGCATACTGATGTATGCAGACCAATGAGTATTAAGGCTCGTGGCAGGTATCGTAATTTTCTGACCTTCACAGATGATTTGAGCAGATATGGGTATATCTACTTGATGAAACATAAGTCTAAAACAGTTGAAAGGTTCAAAGAATTTCAGAGTGAAGTGGAAAATCATCGTAACAGAAAATAAAGTTTCTATGATCTGATCGTGGAGATGAATATTTGAGTTATGAGTTTGGCCTTCAGTTAAAATAATGTGGAATAGTTTCACAAACTCATGCCACCTCGAACACCACAGCGTAACGGTGTGTCCGAATGTCATAACCACACTTTATTTGATATGGTGCGATCAATGATGTCTCTTACCAATTTACCGATATCGTTTTGGGGTTATGCATTAGAGATAGCTACATTCACGTTAAAATAGGGCACCATCTAAATCCGTTGAGACGACACCGTATGAACTATGGTTTAGCAATAAACCTAAGTTGTCGTTTCTTAAAGTTTGGAGTTGCGATGCTTATGTGAAAAAGTTTCAAACTGATAAGCTCAAACACAAATCGGAGAAGTGTCTTGATAGAATACCCATAGGAAACTGTTGGGTACACCTTCTATCATAGATCCGAAGGCAAGTTATTCGTTGTTAAGATGGATCCTTTCTAGAGAAGGAGTTTCTCATGAAAGAAGTGAGTGGGAGGAACTAGAGCTTGATAAGGTAATTTATACCTTCTCCTGAATTGGAAAGTAGTTCATCACAGAAATCAGTTCCAGTGATTCCTACACCAATTAGTGAGGAAGCTAAGGATGATGATCATGAAACTTCAGATCAAGTTACTACAGAACCTCGTAGGTCTTCCAGAGTAAGGTCCGCACCAGAGTGGTATGGTAATCCTATTCTGGAAGTCATGTTACTAGACCATGATGAACCTATGAACTATGAGGAAGCGATGATGAGCCCAGATTCCGCGAAATGGCTTGAAGGCCATCAAATCTGAGATGGGATACATGTATAAGAACAAAGTGTGGACTTTGGTGGACTTTCCCGATGATCGTCAAGCCATAGAAAATAAATGAATCTTCAAGAGGAAGATAGACGCTGATAGTAGTGTTACTATCTACAAAGCTCGACTTGTTTCGAAAGGTTTTCGAAAAGTTCAAGAGGTTGCTACGATGAGATCTTCTCACCCGTAGCGATGCTTAAGTCTGTCTGAATCATGTTAGCAATTGCCACATTTTATGAAATCTAGCAAATGGATGTCAAAACTACATTCCTTAATGGATTTATTAAAGAAGAGTTGTATATGATGCAACCAGAAGGTTTTGTCAATCCTAAAGGTGCTAACAATATATGCAAGCTCCACCGATCCATCTATGGACTGGTGCAAGCATCTCGGAGTTGGAATATACGCTTTGATGAGTTGATCAAAGCATATGGTTTTATACAAACTTTTGAAGAAGCCTGTATTTACAAGAAAGTGAGTGGGAGCTCTGTAACATTTCTAAAAACTATATGTAGATGACATATTGTTAATTGGAAATGACATAGAAATTCTGGATAGCATAAAAGTATACTTGAATAAGAGTTTTTCAAAGAAAGACCTCGGTGAAGCTGCTTACACATTGAGCATCAAGATCTATAGAGATAGATCAAGACGCTTGATAAAGTTTTTTCAATGAGTACATACCTTGATAAGATTTTATACCATGTCATTGTATGAAACAGAACAGAGCAATTGCAAATGATTACCATTCTTTTGCTATCAGTTGCAAATGTTTCTGTCATGTGGCACACATAGTAGCGATCAGGCGTGGTGGTGTTGGGATGATCTTTCACAGTCTATGAACATTATGGTTGTAGAGCATAACTGTGTTGCCCCACACAATGTGGCGACTAAACTCATCTAAGTGGTGGATGTCAGACTTATCTATGTTAAATTATACAAAGTTATACCATTTAGCAGTTGATGTGAGAGTTGTTTTAATGAGAAGAGTAATGTAGCTCTTACCACAGAGAATGTACTTTCCAGGCTTTAGATGGATTTTCTTGCCTTTGAACTTTCGGATTGACTTGCTTTGCTAGGGCGATGAATATACTCGAATGGCTTGTTGTGCTTCTGACACAGTGGTTCGTCTGTGATGAATAGATAAGGAGATCATGGTAAGTTAAAATAATGTCTATGATTTGAAACCTAATTCAATAGTCATCATAAGTATGTTTTTGAGCATTCCCATGGGTAATTTGGCCACCACTAATATCACTGGTTGTGTCTGCCTCCTCTTGTTTAACAGCTGTCATCTGGAAAAAAGTAGTAGAATAATTAAGCTCACTTATCTGCCTGTGGTTTCAGTTGCGATGTTTAACAGTGATGCATATGTCTTAATATAGTGAGACTGATTATTATTGGACATAACTTCACAGGCCATTAGTATGAAATTGCAAGTGTATCAGACTGGACATAAGATGGTTGTCTATGTACTGCTTTTTGAAACGAATGATTAGTGCTTGTCATATATGTATTCCTATATGTAGATAGAAATGGGATAATATAAACTATGCAAGATATTATTCAGCAGAATAGTTCAGGTGTCATGGCGATCTTGAGACTGAGCAATGACCGATGGTTGTTCCCATATAGGTGGCCACGGCAACGCATGGGATACTGCCATCTTGCAATCAAGCATAACAGTTGTCACGACCCTAGGTCAGACACCGCTACCTTGGCAAGTCCAATGACTACAGATATGGTACAGGATATTGTGTAGACACGGCAACTAACCACAAGTTCATGACAGATGATTATAATGCATTGACACTACAGTAGTTAGGTTTCTATAAGTGAAAGAATGAAAAAGTTGGGTTGATAAATAGATTTGATGCTTTATTTGTGTAGAAGTGTCTACGAGATCTATATTTGATTAGATGAAATAAATTGATTTGCCTCATTATTGATTCCCTAACCGAAATCTTGGCTAGCTTGTACAAATTTAAGGCATCAGTTGGAGCTTACCTTGTAAATATGGCGATTGGAGCGCTTATCTACAAGCAAAGATGTGGCATGTTGGTTGGTGAGGCCTTGAGCCAGACGCGTCATGAGTGCATACGTCCGCAGCACGGCGTGACGACACCCATCGCTGCTACTGGGCAGCGGCTTCTTGGCCATGGCACCAGCAGCTGGCCGATGCCAGGACGGTCGCTGTCGATGCGGATGGGGGAGACGGTGCGGTGGCGGATCTGGATGAGAAATCTGTAGCGTCTGAGAGCAATGGGAGCTTCGGTTTGCTTCTAATAATGTGGCACCAGAGGCATATAGGCCCAGGCAAACATTTCTATGGGCTGGTCATGGGCCGTGCAAATTTTAGAAGGCATTCTATTAAGCAGGATGCATCACGGTCTATTTTACAGGCTGTTTTTTCGTTGCTGGAGAGTGTTCTTTTACGTCTTCAAAAAGTACAACTACATTATTATGTCTGTCAACAAAAAGTATTTTTTTTTTGTGGATGTGCAAGACTGGTACAGAGATGAATTATAATTTTATTTTAATGGATTTTTTACTGGCACAAAATATTTCTCTATAGAATAAACAAGTAGCTGTGTGAAGGAAAGAATTTGACATAATAAAGGAAAATAAAAATGTGATTTCTATAAAGGCGAAAGCAAGAATATTGCATTGCAAAGGTCAATCTCCATGGAGTTTGTTGCGTGGAAGAAGGCAAAAAAAGTATTTGAAAATTGGCTTTTCTTTTTTACCAATAGGCATGCATATTTTTTAAGCATGTATAAATTCCAATCAATTAATTTGATTGCTTGCATGGCATAAAGAAAGACAAATATTTGGGACAAATATTATGAAGCAAAGTGTTGGTTTATTATATGCATTTTTTTATACATGGTATGTCAATATATATGATCATAAACTTCAATACATGCACAATGACGCGAAACCCAAAACCAGGTAATAAAAGGAAGCAACATGAGAAGATTCAGTGAACAGAAAGTATGGTCAGATTGGTAATTGTAATTTAAAGTATGATCAAATTCAGAAACAACAGTGACAATACAAATTTAAAGTATGGGCAACTTTAGAGACATCACTGATAATACTAATCACAGGGAAAATGAAGTTCTTGGAATTGTGCTAGGAGACTCGAGCAAATTATGCCAGGAAAGAAACCAAAAAAATATTTGTGTGTAGAAAGCAAGTGTACAACATACATGAATGTAATAAATATTGCAAAGGAGCAGGAAAAATAAAAGAATTGGTTATATGTGTGACCACTCTTCTTATCTGTCACAAAAGGCAAACTCGGTATTGATTGTATCCTATGGTTAGAAATAGGTAGAGAATGATTCAGTTAACCCTACAAGTATATCTCGAACCATATCCATCTTTCCACACATAAATAAAGTTCTATACCAAGAACCATGGATCCAAACGGCACCAACCAACATTCATAGCAACATGTGCAACCCCTCACCTCAACCAAATCCAAGTGACAACAAAAGAAAGTGTCAAATTGAAGCAAAAAATAATAATAACAGAGTAATCCGGGTACCTGAACACCCAAGCCAACTGAAGTCGTGGTTGTAAGGGAAATCGTGAGGCGGCAAATCCACACCGATCAGTACCTGCAAAACATCAGAAAGTAGACAAACAAACACTATCAATCAGGTGAAGAGAACAAAGATGAATGGGAAAGGGGAAAACTAATAAACTGGATCAGGTCCACCGATAGCATTTAAAAATTAATCTGAATCATGGGACCCGAAGAGACAGCTTGTCTGTTTTTAATTATGAGCCTACTTCTTACCTTAAGATTGCAAACAATAATCGTACCTGTGTCAATCAAATAAAGGTATGGCATCTTCATCACCTAATGCAAACCAGTAAAGGAGCTAGATGGAAAGACATCTTTCATGGCAACTCATGTTGTGTGTATGCATAATCGAGATGTGATTCAGATTTCCTAGGCGGTGAAGAAAACCACATGTAGGGATAACACCGAGCATAACAACCTCAACCACAACAACAACCGATTAACAGCGGGAATAACAATCATCCAGAGAGAAGGTATTTCCCTGATTAGAGTAGCTAACCTTCCATCACCTACAAGAGAATCCTTAAAAACTGCACCCACAGCAGAACAGAAGAACAAACCAAACTAAGACAGCATTAACATGTTGTATCTTATGCAAGTGACCAGAAGATGAGAATGCTTGCCGGCAAAGGGGATCAAGGTAATAATAACCTGAAAACATCTAGGGAAGTAATGTGTAATGCACCTAGCAAATAAAATAGAGGACGTAGAATATTCAGTCAGCATTCCACAACTTGACTTTCCCTCTGGATACATATCTTGAGAGTCATAAGATATGATCTATTTTACATGCGCTCTTATCAAATCTTCCCAGCCAGCTGAGACCTCCGTCTATTTCCTAGAGCTTCCAAAACAAAGCAAATACAATTAACTTCAAATTATAGAAGTTGCATTGTGGTATATATTTAAATATTCTACAAAAAAAAGTGCACATAACATATCTAATTGAACCTTCAAAATCGTCAAGTAGATATTAAAGAAGATATAATCATCAGTGTGAGTGTACTGTCCATAAGTGCATTGGTGCCTATTTTGTACAATGACCTAGAGAAAACTCCAGTACATAAAAAGGAAGGTTTCATTTATGGAAATTGAAAGATATTTCTAGCTTTTTACCGGTTCAGACAAATAATGCAAATATCAAACTGTCGATACGCATGGCAATGGTTTGTAAAGGACGCCTGCACCATGATGTAAAACCATTGAATCAAATGTCAAATTGTATCATAGAAAAGCAAACACAGTAGACATTGCTGATGCCTTGGCTACAATCTATGGTTCATCTTGCATCAGAGACTGCAACACAGGGATGTATTGTGCCTGGTTCATTGAGTTCAAGGTGGTGCTTTGATTCAGAGGAATTTGGTAGCATCGCGGCTCATGTCGTGGCAAGGTTACTACTATCCAGAATTTATCAGGTCCCGATGTTCATTGCTCACCGTACCAGATGATCTGACCACCCATCGATCCGATCAGTTTATAGAACTTTAGACCCAAAGAAAATAAATAATAAGCTTGTCCAATGTGAATGACAACAGTCTGACACACCACAGCTCCCCAATAGCACAACAAAAGATTTAAAAAACCCGACAAGTGGCTAGTAAATATGAGAAACTCCTAACATATTATCTATAGCAATCAAAGTCACGCTAAGTGCTACGCTCCCAGCTTGTCTCGTTGCCACGGTCTCAAATGCATCGAGAATTTCAAATGGTTACTCTTGAAGGAACATAGTAAGGCTGGCCGAAATTTATGTGTGGAGCTATCATGATTTTGGTGTACAATAACCCATAATAATTTGTGATCATGTACACATATTATCCAATTTGTTTAGCAAACACAGGGGGTCTGTAGTATACTGAAAAATATTTGGCAACCCACGGTGCAAGTTGAGTGTTCTCAGGCTCTTTTTTGTCTTGTTGTAATAGTCAGACTGCCTACATTTAAATTTAGATGTAAAGCACCAAAATAATTGTCAAGCGAAACCAATAGTGCCAGAAAATTAAGAGGAACCAGAGCCTTGCAGAAGATCAAGAAATAACAATATAAAAACTATTTTTTACATTAAACCAGAACTTTGCAGAAAATTAAGAGGAACCAGAACCTTGCAATAGTGAAAGCATTGTTTGGTGTACAGAACCAATGATAATTTGTGATCATCCATAGTGCACAGAATTAAATGACAGTAAGGATATTGGTTATTCTATCCTCCTGATACCTACTGACATACACCTAACTTGAAGTAGAATGGAAGGGATGTACTTCAAAATCGAATATGAAATTACGCACATATAATGGCAGTGAAAGGAATAAATTGTTCAGCTACACAACCTATCCAGTTTGTTTAGCAAACACAGGGGGTCTGCAGTACTTTGAAAAATATTTGGCTATCCATGGCGCAAGCTGAGTGTTCTCAGGCTCCCTTCTGTTCTTGTTTCAGACCAGCTGGGCATATTTCAGGGTTGAAGCCATCACGATATACAAAAAACGGCAACCATCCTTGGCCTCCATTTCTCATTCGCTTTCTTTCTCGAGGGTATACCAGAGGTGCTTGTACATACCTGTTTTGGAAGACCTATCTGATGAGCATAAGAATTGTGGATTTCAATCGTAGAGAATGGTTAGATATATTGTCAACCGCATAATCCCAAAATAAATGTGTATGCCTTAAGATATCCTGCATTTTAGTGATGAATTTTGAATAGCACTGAAGATCCTAATACACCGGCACAGTTAGCTAGATGATTAGGGTCGGGTTCATCATGAGGACTTAGATGAGCAACCTGACGCAGTTACACAGCCGCGTGAAAACGTCATCTTACTTGCTCCAGCAAGACACATTCAAAATAAGACAGTGGTACACATGCATAGTAAACTCTCATGGACCTCTGGGCAATCCAATAAAGCGAAAAAACCTCCGTATGAACCAAATAGTCCTATGATGTATACGAGCTTACTTTTCTTGAAAATAAAAGTAAACAAACATATCATCATATTGCAAGAAACAAATTTCAGAATCAGACACAATGAAAAACAGAACATAAGAGGGGAAGATAACCTGCTTCAGAAAAATATCCCGTACATAAGAATGGCTACAGGTCTTGTGATCTTTCCTCATGGATTTTGGCAAACCATCAAGTTTAGTAATAAGTAATACAAAGAAGGTAACATTTAGTAAACGAAATCCTTAAAAGCAGCACTCACTGAAGCATATTACTGCATAACCAGTGGGCTGGGTTGGGATTGTAGTACGCCGTAGTCGAGATAGTCAGCGGTGTTGACGAAGTCCAACTATCTAATTAATAGGCATGGAATGACCACACTAATTCGTAATTTCCCCAACCGTAGACATGTATGCGACTTCTAACCAGGAATCATTGGAGCCAAATATACATTGTACACCGACTCCTATGGCTCAAACAATTAGAAATTGAAAAAGCAAATCTCAAGATCCCTTGTACGAACAAAAGAATGAACTAAGATAGCAACAAGAAGAAGAGAGACAACCTGAGTTAACTTATAGGAGCAGCACACACTCCTGAAACCAGATTGAACAATCCTTGCAATCTCCAACACCATCAGTAGAGAACCCACCTGCAACATGAGCATAGGAATCAAGAATCAGACGAAATTGGGGAGCAAAAAAAGGGAAAAGGAAAACGGAACCGCACCAATCCTTCCCACTCTCGCCGGCCTCCTTCCTCTCCCCTGCAGGTCCACTCCACCATGATGTGACCGCTCTGGCCTCGCTGCTCCTTCCTCCCATCGTGGTTCTTCCCTTCTCCTCGACCTCGGCTGTGAAGACCTCACCGGCGGGGCTCTGATCTGCGGGGAGAGCATGGGAGTAGGGGGGATAGGGATTGAAAGTGGAGGCGAAAGGGAGGAGGCGATGCGGTGGGAAGAGCATGGGACGAGGGGCGAGGAGGAAAAGTCAGGGGTACGCGCGGCTGGACTGGTTTATAGGGTTTTCACCATGCACTGAATGGCCCACCTCGCATGTCCCACTTTGTGTACGTAAATTTGGAGCACACCTCGACTCATTGCATGGACCCGCAGTTAACAAGGCCCATCTGCCATGAACTTCTGAAGCATCTGCGAATGTGCAAAACAGACCAACGGCTGGCCATAAGCCAGCAGTCAAAAGTGGTCAACAGTAAAAAGATCGAACGACATGGACAGGTTAGCGCTCGAAAGTGCCCCAGGATGGCGGGTAGCACACCAAGGTTTATATGTTCAATTATGCAACTCACGTTTACCGGAGGAACACTTTGTGTGCTACCAAACGTCACAACGTAACTGGGTGATTATAAAGGAGCTCTACAGGTGTCTCCGAAGGTACATGTCGAGTTGGCGTATTTCGAAATTAGGATTTGTCACTCCGATTATCGGAGAGGTATCTCTGGGCCCTCCCGGTAATGCACATCACTATAAGCCTTGCAAGCAAAGTAGCTAATGATTTAGTTACGGGATGATGCATTACGTAACGAGTAAAGAGACTTGCCGGTAACGAGATTGAACTAGGTATTGAGATACCGACGATCGAATCTCGGGCAAGTAACATACCGATGACAAAGGGAACAATGTATGTTGTTATGCGGTTTGACCGATAAAGATCTTCGTAGAATATGTAGGAGCCAATATGAGCATCCAGGTTCCGCTATTGGTTATTAATCGGAAACATGTCTCGGTCATGTCTACATAGTTCTCGAACCCGTAGGGTCCGCATGCTTAAGGTTTCGATGACAGTTATATTATGAGTTTATGAGTTTTGATGTACCGAAGGTTGTTCGGAGTCAAGGATGTGATTACGGACATGACGAGGAGTCTCTAAATCGTCGAGACATGAAGATTGATATATTGGAAGCCTACATTTGGATATCAGAAGTGTTACGGGTGAAATCGGGATTTTACCGGAGTACCGGGGGGTTACTGGAATCCCCCGGGGGCTTAGTGGGCCTACATGGGCCTTAGTGGAAATAGAGGGCAGCAAGGGGAGTGTGGGGCGCGCCCCCCAAGGCCCAAACCAAATTGGTTTAGGGAAAAGGGGTCGGCCCCCCTCTTTCCTTCTCCTCCTCTCCCTTTCCGTCCCCCTCTCCTAGTCCAACAAGGAAGGAGGGAGTCCTACTCCCGGTGGAAGTAGGACTCCCCATGGCGCGCCCCCTCCTAGGCCGGCCGCCCCTCCCCCCTTGCTCCTTTATATACGGGGGCTGGGGGCACCTCTAGACACAACAATTGATCTCTTGATCTCTTAGCCGTGTGCGGTGCCCCCATCCACCCTAGTCTTCCTCGATAATATTGTAGCGGAGCTTAGGAGAAGACCTGCGACGGTAGAACATCAACATCGTCACCACGCCGTCGTGCTGACGGAACTCTCCCTCGACACTCGGCTGGATCGGAGTTCGGGGGACGTCATCGAGCTGAACGTGTGCTAGAACTCGGAGGTGCCGTAGTTTCGGTGCTTGATCGGTCGGGCCGTGAAGACATACGACTACATCAACCGCGTTGTTCTAACTCTTCCGCTTTCGGTCTACGAGGGTATGTGGACACACTCTCACCTCTCGTTGTTATGCATCACCCTGATCTTGCGTGTGCGTAGGGAAATTTTTGAAATTACTACGTTCCCCAACACCACACACACACACACACAAACACACACACACACTAAGACTCCATCACACACACACACACACTAAG